TATTTTCTTAATAGTTTCATCGCTATTATTATTATCATCACTATCATTGTTGTTTTTGCTGTTGCTGTTATCATTGTTACTATCATTATTATCATTGTTATGGTTATTATTTTCTTAATAGTTTCATCGCTATTATTATTATCATCACTATCATTGTTGTTTTTGCTGTTGCTGTTATCATTGTTACTATCATTATTATCATTGTTATGGTTATTATTTTCTTAATAGTTTCATCGCTATTATTATTATCATTATTATTATTATCATTATTATTATTATTATTATCATTATTATTATTATTATTATTATTATCATTATTATTATTATTATTATTATTATTATCATTATTATTATTATCATTATTATTATTATTTTATTATTATTATTATCATCACTATCATTGTTGTTTTTGCTGTTGCTGTTATCATTGTTACTATCATTATTATCATTGTTATGGTTATTATTTTCTTAATAGTTTCATCGCTATTATTATTATCATTATTATTATTATTATATTATTATTATCATCATTTTTATTATAACTATTATTATCATTACTGTCATTATTATTATCATTATCATTATTATTATTATTAATAATAATACAATCATTATAATAATTAATATTATTATTAGAATCATTGATATCATTATCATAATTATCATCAGAATCATTGTTATTATTATTATCATTATTATTATTATTATTATTATTATTATTATAATCCTTATCATTATAATTATTATTATTAAAATCGTTATTATCATTATCATTTATGTTGTTATTATCATTGTTATCATTAGTATAAACATTATGATGATAATCATTAATATTTTAAAGTATTATTTACATTATCATTATTGTTGTTATCACTGATATTAGTTATTACCATTACCATTATGATTGTTGTAATCACTATCAATATTAATTCTGCCATTGTCATCATTATCATTGTTATTATGTTATTATTATTTTTTTATTATATTTTCATTGTTGATATTATTACCATTACTGTCATCATTACAGTTATTATATTTTTTATTACAATCATTACCATTATCACTATTGGCATTAGTAGTAGTATTGTTGTTATCATCATCATTATTATTGTTATCATTATTATTATTATCATCACTATCATTGTTGTTTTTGCTGTTGCTGTTATCATTGTTACTATCATTATTATCATTGTTATGGTTATTATTTTCTTAATAGTTTCATCGCTATTATTATTATCATTACCATCATTTTTATTATCATTAATATTATTACTCGTATTACTACTACTGTGGTCATTATTAATGTTATCATAATCATTACTGTTATAGTTATTATCAGTATCATTATTAGTATTGTTGTTATTTTCATTATCATCATCATCATCCTTATTATCATTATTACTATTACCAATATTACTATTATTATTATTATAATTATCGTTATTATTATTATTATTATTATTATTACTATTATCATCATCATCATCATTATTATTGTTATTATCATTACCATTATAATTATATTTATCATCACCATCATCATTAATATTAGTTTATTGCTATTATTATCATTACGACCATTATTTTCATTACCATTTCTATTATCATCGTCAGGATTCTCATTAACATAATTATCTTTATCATCATTATTATTGTTTTCACCATTATCATTATTATAGTCATTACTTTTGCGATTGCTATTGTTATCAGTATTTATTATTATTGTTATCATCATTATCATTATCATTATTATTATTGTTATTATTATTATTATAATCATTATCATTATCATCATTGTCGTTGTTAACATCATTATGACCATCACTACTATTGATACCAATATTATTATCGTTATCACCATCATCATCAATATTATTACTATATTATTATCATCATTATCATTTTCATTATTGTTTACATTATGATTATCAATACTATTTATTGTTTTTATTATCATTATTATTTACATTACCATTGCTGTTATTATCAACAATATTAATGTAACTATAATGATAGTGACAATGATCATCATTATTATCATTATCACCTCCATTTTCGCATTTTCATCAACATCATCATCCACATCCTTCTCACAACCAACCAAAATCGAGTTGAAAACAAAAAAAAAAAAAAAAAAAGCCGGGGAAAATAACGTTATTTGCTTTTCGTCATTCACACAGACAAACACTTATTATCAAGAACAAAGCCTATATCCGGGACTTGTTGTAACGGTAACACAGAACAAAAGGATGGGGTGCATGTGTTACGCAGACTGCAGTGATACAATCAAAAGTCGGAGAGGATGGACAATAGATTATAAAGGGGGGAGGAGGGGGGGTTGTAAAGGATGTATTTTTTTGTACGCGGATGTTCATGGGGTGGGGGTGGGGGTGGGGGGGAGGCGAAGGTATGTTTGTTATTTATGAGGTTATTTTTTTCTATTTAGGTGTTTAGTTTTGATGCTTATTGGTTTAAAAAGGTGGGGTTGCTTTTGAGATTTGCTGTAATAGGATTTGTCGGTTTGTTATACATGGTCTGTTTGTCGTATATTATTCTGCTTGTTATCTGTGCTTGTATGTCTTTTTGTCTGTCTCTCCCTCTCTCTCCTTTACTCTCTTTCTACTTCTCTCTCTCTCTCTCTTTCTCTCTTCTTCTCTCTCTTTGTCCCTCTCCCTCTTCTTTACTCTCTCTCTCTGTTTCTTTCTCTCTCTCTCTTTTTTTTTTTTTTTTTTTCTCTCTCTCTACTTCCCATCTCTCTCTTTCTCCCTCTTCACTTCCTCTCAGTCGACTGAGTACTGACATCAGCTTTTCGGGGTCAAAGTCGGGGTGAAAAGGAATTGGCAGCCCTACCACATCACCCCGCTGCTTAGTACGCATGTTCCTCTATGTGTGTCTGTGAGTGTGTGCGTGTGTGTGTTTTTGTATGATGCTTCTGTATGTATATATGAGAGTGTTATGCTGATGTTCCTAATTATCAAAGGGAGTAAAATTTTTGTTGCCATTTTTTCTTTCTTTTTTTTTAATTAATTATTTATAACAATAAAGTACAGTAGTTTGAGGAATATACAGATCAGGCAGTCACTTGTAAGATCCCTCCCTCTCCCCCCCTTAAAAAAAAGTTTAAAAGCACACGCACATACACACACACAAACACACACACACACACACAACACACACACACGCACACACACACACACACACACACAAACACACACACACACACACACACACATGCACACACCAGTGTCAACGTTCCCAACACGAAAGGTAGTTTCACGGTACATAATACACAGTAACGATGCATAATAAATACATAATATATAGTCACATTGCACACACTGCTATTGACCTCAGCGACCTCCATAAAGGTTGAAAATGAAAGATGATTCCCCCCTCCCCCCCTGCATGTGCAACAGGGATTTGCATCATCACGAATGTGCAACCAAGTGTAAAAATAAAGCATAATTTTTCGGTGCTTTCACCTGATAGGAAATATTTTAGTATCGAAACGTGGTGTCCATTTTAATGCGTTTTTTTTAAATTGTTCGACTGATTGTTTGTATTTGTATTATATTATTATACTGTATTTTGTTTTATCTTTAACCTATAGGCCTTATGTGTTACTTTATTTTATCGCTAAAGGTCCCTTTTTGACGTTTTTTTATTGTGTTGTAATAACTTTATCGCACTGTATTACCATACCATATAAATTTAATGTTTAAACGTTATCTAAATCTAGTATTTAAACGTCATCTAATTCTAATATTCAAACGTTATCTAAATCTAATATTTAAACGTTATCTAAATCTAATATTCAAACGTTATCTAAATCTAATATTTAACCGTTATCTTAACTAATCCCTAATCTTTATCTTCATTTTTAAACGCTATCTTCTCTCTAAACCTCCTCTCATTTCTAAACTGTATCTTATCTAAACTATTAACGTCACCTTATCTGGTCTCTATATGTTATGTGATTCCCAAACGTCATCTTATCTGATCTTGTAGACGTTGTTCTATCTCTAAATGTTAAACAATCTCTATGTTATCCAGTCTCTTATCTCGTCACTAAAGTTCACTTAATCTCCAAACGCTACCTCATTCTCATCTCTAAACGTTATCTTATATGATATCTAAACGTAATCCAATCTCTAATCAATGTCCTATCCAACCTCTAAACGCCATCCTATCCAGCCTCTAAACGCCATCCTATCCAGCCTCTAAACGCCATCCTATCCAACCTCTAAACGCCATCCTATCCAATCTCCAAACTCTAACTTCTCCAACCTCTAAACGCCATCCTATCCAACCTCTAAACACCATCCTATCCAAGCTCTAAACGCCATCCTATCCAAGCTCTAAACGCCATCCTATCCAAGCTCTAAACGCCATCCTATCCAACCTCTAAACGCCATCCTATCCAAGCTCTAAACGCCATCCTATCCAAGCTCTAAACGCCATCCTATCCAACCTCTAAACGCCATCCTATCCAACCTCTAAACGTCATCCTATCCAAGCTCTAAACGCCATCCTATCCAAGCTCTAAACGCCATCCTATCCAAGCTCTAAACGCCATCCTATCCAAGCTCTAAACGCCATCCTATCCAACCTCTAAACGCCATCCTATCCAACCTCTAAACGCCATTTTATCCAACCTCTAAACGTCATCCTATCCAATCTCTAAACTCTAACTTATCCAAGCTCTAAACTCTAACTTATCCAAGCTCTAAACGCCATCCTATCCAACCTCTAAACGCCATCCTATCCAACCTCTAAACGCCATCCTATCCAACCTCTAAACGCCATTTTATCCAACCTCTAAACGTCATCCTATCCAAGCTCTAAACGCCATCCTGTCCAACCTCTAAACGCCATCCTATCCAATCTCTAAACTCTAACTTATCCAAGCTCTAAACTCTAACTTATCCAACCTCTAAACTCTAACTTATCCAAGCTCTAAACGCCATCTTATCCAACCTTTAAACCCTATCCTATCCAATCACTCAAAGTAATCTATTCCGTAAACCTTATCTAATCTCATCACCAAACGTCTTTTTTTTCTTATCTTTTCTTTTCTTATTTTAACGACTTTTTTTTTGCGATCTGCCAGGAAGCTGTGACGCATCGACGGTGACGGTGGCGGTGACGAGTCTTGTGTGACGTCACGCAGCAGTGGGTGCACGAACGACCGAGGACACTAAAGAGGTGAGAGGAGGGGGGGAGGGGAGAGGAAGGGAAGGAGGGGAGGGGAGGAGGGTAGAGAAGAGGGGAAGGGGAGGGGAGGTAGAAAAGGGGAGAAGGAGGGGAGGAAGAGGAGGAGGGAGAGGATGAAGGAAGGAGAGGAGGAGGTAGAGAAGGGGGGAGGAGAAGGAAGAGGGGATGTGGGGGAGGGAAGGGGAAGATAATGAGAGGAGGGAGAGAAAGGAAGGCAGTGAGGGAGAAAGAAGAGAAGGGAGGGAGAGGAGGGGAGGAGGAGATGGAGGAAGAGGAGGGGAGGAGGAGAGGAGGGGAGAAGAGGAGGGGGGGAGAGGGAGAGGACACTAAAAGGTTAAGATGAAGAGGGAGGGAGAAAACGGAAGGAGATAGAGGAAGAGAGGGAGGGAAAAGGGAGAGAAATGGGAGGGAGGGAATGAAGAGGAAGGAGGAAGGAAGGAGGAAGGGGAGGAGAAGGAGAAGGAATGGGAGAGAGAAGGGAGGAAGGAGAGAAGAGAAGGAAGTGAGGGAGAGGAGAAGGAAAAGAAAGAGAAGGGTGAGGAAAGGAATGGAGGGAGAAGGAGAACTTATCCAAGCTCTAAACTCTAACTTATCCAAGCTCTAAACTCTAACTTATCCAAGCTCTAAACGCCATCCTATCCAACCTCTAAACGCCATCCTATCCAACCTCTAAACTCTAACTTATCCAAGCTCTAAACTCTAACTTATCCAAGCTCTAAACTCTAACTTATCCAAGCTCTAAACTCTAACTTATCCAAGCTCTAAACTCTAACTTATCCAAGCTCTAAACTCTAACTTATCCAAGCTCTAAACTCTAACTTATCCAAGCTCTAAACTCTAACTTATCCAAGCTCTAAACTCTAACTTATCCAAGCTCTAAACTCTAACTTATCCAAGCTCTAAACTCTAACTTATCCAAGCTCTAAACTCTAACTTATCCAAGCTCTAAACTCTAACTTATCCAAGCTCTAAACTCTAACTTATCCAAGCTCTAAACTCTAACTTATCCAAGCTCTAAACTCTAACTTATCCAAGCTCTAAACTCTAACTTATCCAAGCTCTAAACTCTAACTTATCCAAGCTCTAAACTCTAACTTATCCAAGCTCTAAACTCTAACTTATCCAAGCTCTAAACTCTAACTTATCCAAGCTCTAAACTCTAACTTATCCAAGCTCTAAACTCTAACTTATCCAAGCTCTAAACTCTAACTTATCCAAGCTCTAAACTCTAACTTATCCAAGCTCTAAACTCTAACTTATCCAAGCTCTAAACTCTAACTTATCCAAGCTCTAAACTCTAACTTATCCAAGCTCTAAACTCTAACTTATCCAAGCTCTAAACTCTAACTTATCCAAGCTCTAAACTCTAACTTATCCAAGCTCTAAACTCTAACTTATCCAAGCTCTAAACTCTAACTTATCCAAGCTCTAAACTCTAACTTATCCAAGCTCTAAACTCTAACTTATCCAAGCTCTAAACTCTAACTTATCCAAGCTCTAAACTCTAACTTATCCAAGCTCTAAACTCTAACTTATCCAAGCTCTAAACTCTAACTTATCCAAGCTCTAAACTCTAACTTATCCAAGCTCTAAACTCTAACTTATCCAAGCTCTAAACGCCATCCTATCCAACCTCTAAACTCTAACTTATCCAAGCTCTAAACTCTAACTTATCCAAGCTCTAAACTCTAACTTATCCAAGCTCTAAACTCTAACTTATCCAAGCTCTAAACTCTAACTTATCCAAGCTCTAAACTCTAACTTATCCAAGCTCTAAACTCTAACTTATCCAAGCTCTAAACTCTAACTTATCCAAGCTCTAAACGCCATCCTATCCAACCTCTAAACTCTAACTTATCCAAGCTCTAAACTCTAACTTATCCAAGCTCTAAACTCTAACTTATCCAAGCTCTAAACTCTAACTTATCCAAGCTCTAAACTCTAACTTATCCAAGCTCTAAACTCTAACTTATCCAAGCTCTAAACTCTAACTTATCCAAGCTCTAAACTCTAACTTATCCAAGCTCTAAACTCTAACTTATCCAAGCTCTAAACTCTAACTTAGAGAAGTAGAAAGAAGGGGAGAAAGAGGGAGGAGAGGGAGAAGGGAGGAGGGGGGAGGAAAGAGAAATTTCAATCATGGCCATATATTCTTCTCACATCATGGATAACGTGTATTTCTTTATTATTGCAATATATTTTTTTTAATGATTTAATAACTATCGTTAGCAGAGGTCGCTGTTCCGAAGCGTGGTCGGCTCAATGTTCGTTTTCTGTTGAGTCTCAGCCTTCGTTTTCTGTTGAGTCTCAGTTTTCGTTTTCTGTTGAGTCTCAGTTTTCGTTTTCTATTGATTCTTAGTTTTCGTTTTCTGTTGAGTCTCAGTCTTCGTTTTCTATTGATTCTCAGTTTTCGTTTTCTGTTGAGTATAGTCTCCGTTTTCTATTGAGTCTCAGCTTTCGTTTTCTGTTGAGTCTCAGCCTTCGTTTTCTATTGATTCTCAGTTTTCGTTTTCTGTTAAGTTTCAGTCTCCGTTTTCTGTTGTGTCAGTTTTCGTTTTCTGTTGAGGCCCAGCCTTCGTTTTCTATTGATTCTCAGTCTTCGTTTTCGGTTGAGTCTCAGTCTTCGTTTTCTATTGATTCTCAGTTTTCGTTTTCTGTTGAGTCTCAGTCTTCGATTTCTATTGATTCTCAGTTTCCGTTTTCTGTTGAGTCTCAGCCTTCGTTTTCTGTTGAGTCTCAGTTTCCGTTTTCTGTTGAGTCTCAGTTTCCGTTTTCTGTTGAGTCTCAGTCTTCGTTTTCTATTGATTCTCAGTTTTCGTTTTCTGTTGAGTATAGTCTCCGTTTTCTATTGAATCTCAGCTTTCGTTTTCTGTTGAGTCTCAGCCTTCGTTTTCTATTGATTCTCAGTTTTCGTTTTCTGTTAAGTCTCAGTCTCCGTTTTCTGTTGTGTCAGTTTTCGTTTTCTGTTGAGGCCCAGCCTTCGTTTTCTATTGATTCTCAGTCTTCGTTTTCGGTTGAGTCTCAGTCTTCGTTTTCTATTGATTCTCAGTTTTCGTTTTCTGTTGAGTCTCAGTCTTCGATTTCTATTGATTCTCAGTTTCCGTTTTCTGTTGAGTCTCAGCCTTCGTTTTCTGTTCAGTCTTAGCCTTCGTTTTCTATTGAGTCTCAGTCTTCGTTTTCTTTTGGGCCTCAGCCTTCGTTTTCTTTTGGGTCTCAGCATTCGTTTTCTTTTGGGTCTCAGCATTCGTTTTCTTTTGGGTCTCAGCCTTCGTTTTCTTTTGGGTCTCAGCCTTCGTTTTCTTTTGGGTCTCAGCATTCGTTTTCTTTTGGGTCTCAGCATTCGTTTTCTGTTGGGTCTCAGCCTTCGTTTTCTTTTGGATCTCAGCCTTCGTTTTCTTTTGGGTCTCAGCCTTCGTTTTCTTTTGGGTCTCAGCCTTCGTTTTCTTTTGGGTCTCAGCCTTCGTTTTCTTTTGGGTCTCAGCCTTCGTTTTCTTTTGGGTCTCAGCCTTCGTTTTCTTTTGGGTCTCAGCCTTCGTTTTCTTTTGGGTCTCAGCCTTCGTTTTCTATTGAGTCTCAGTCTATCGGTCTTTCTGAATTATTGATTTTTTTGGACTTGAGTTTTTATTAAAGAAGGAAAAATATTGAGAAACGACTGATGAGAGTTTGTTTTAGTTAGTTAAAAGTTAGTTAAGTTATTTAAGAAGTTAGTTTCAGTATAACGATAATAATGAAACGGAGAGAAACGATTTCTTTTAACAAAACACAGAGAAACTATCTAAAATGAGAAATTAGTTTTAGCCTAACAATAGAAAAAAGCTAGTTTTAGTTTAGCAATGACGGTAAAAACGGAGATAAACTATTTAAAAAAAAGTTAGTATTAGTCGCACACCAATAAAATAACACAGATAAACAAATTAAAAAAAATCTTGACAGGTGAATGTACTTGCAGGCATAAAGATGACACAGCCATACCTTCTCGTTCTTGTTGCATGCACGGTGTCCATGCTCTCGGCGCCTGCATGGGCTATCCTCCTAGGTCGAACGCTGAGTAAGTACTTAATTGTGTGTGTGTGTGTGTGTGTGTGTGTGTATGTATGTGTGTGTGTGTGTGTGTGTGTGTGTGTGTGTGTGTGTGTGTGTGTATGTGGAGAGTGTGTGTGTGTGTGTGTGTGTGTGTGTGTATGTGGAGAGTGTGTGTGTGTGTGTGTGTGTGTGTGTGTGTGTGTGTGTGTGTGTGTGTGTGTGTGTGTGTGTACGGAGGGTGTGTGTGTGTGTGTGTGTGTGAGTGTGAATGTGTGTTTACGTGTGTTTGTACGTGTATGCTAAACGGAGTGTATTATGTGCCTGTATATACGTCTGTATATGTATATATATAATATACCCAACACCTTATTACATATCAATACTTACCTACCTACTTACCCACCTCCCTCCCTACCTACCTACTTACCCACTTCTCTCCCTCCCTCCCTACCTACTTCCCCCCCTCCCTCCCTACTTACACACCTCCCTACCTACCTACCTACTTACCCACCTCCCCTCCTCCCTCCCTCTCTCACTACCTACCTACTTACCCACTTCCCTCCCTCCCTCCCTATCTCCCTACATACCTACTTACCCACTTCCTTCCCTCCCTCCCTCCCTACCTACTTACCCACCTCCCCCCCTCTCTCACTACCTACCTACTTACCCACTTCCCTCCCTCCCTTCCTCCCTCCCTCCCTATCTCCCTACATACCTACTTACCCACTTCCTTCCCCCCCTCCCTCCCTCCCTCCCTACCAACTTACCTTACCTCCCTCTCCGGAACAGCTGGAGCCTGTGCGAAGACCTGTGACTATGAATACGAACCTCTGTGTGCCAATAACGGCTTCACGTATCCCAACTTCTGCCTGTATTCCGTCGAGGCTTGTAAGAACTCGTCCCTCGCCATCGTCAGGAACCGACCTTGTAGTGAGTGTGGCCTTTTTTTGAGTGTTATTATTTAGTTTTATTATTGTTTAGTTATTATTATTATTGAAATCATTACGCATTCTTATATTTTGTTTATCTATTATTATTATTTTGTTTTGTTTTGTTTCATATTTCACTGTAATATATTAAAAAGCGTATCACCTATATTAATCTCTTTTGCCCCCCCCCCCCCCCTCTATATCCTAATTTTCATCTCTTGTCGAATTAGAACTTCATTGGTCTCCCTTCACTTCATTTCATCTTTATCTTCATTGTTTGCTTCTCACTTCACTCCTTTTGATGTAAAAATGTTTTTCGAATTCATTAAACATTCTTATTTTAACCTTGTTTTTCTGTGTTTCTCCTCACTCCACAAATATAATTTACATTAACCTTCACTTATTTCATAATACTTCATAACCTTACTCTGTCAAAATGTACTACGCATCTCTATAACTTCATTTACTACCTGTGATGTATTTATCAAAGTCTCCCTTGTTTTTGTTTCTTTAATTCACATTTTGTATTTAACAGACTCTGTATCATGCATTCCCTCAAGCATTTTTTCTTCCCCCCACCCTCACCTCCCCGACAGCTCTCTGCCAGACCCATGCCTCTACGTATGCCAGAAAGATAACGACTCTCATTACGTATTTCCTAATCCCTGATCACCCCCAACCCCCTCCCTACAACTATATCACACTTCCCTAACCTTCACTTATTTTTTCCTCCGCCCTCCCTACCCCCCCCCTCTATATTACACATCCCCAATGCCTAACAACCCCTTTTTTTCCTCTATTACCTCCCCCAACAGCTCTGCCAGACCCTTGCCTCTACGTATGCCCGAGAGACAGCGACCCTGTGTGTGGAAATAACGGCCTTACGTATCCCAACCCTTGCGTCCTCATGTTCAACGCTTGCTTCTATGCGAGTCAGGGTATAAGACCGCGGCATAAGGGAGCGTGTGGTAGGTTGTGAAAATGGAGGGTTTGTTGTTACTAATGTTATTGTTTTTTTTTTCGTTATTTTATTTCTTCTATTTTTTATTATTTTTAGTTTTATTATAATGAATGTTTTTTTATTGTTATAATGGATTTGTTTCCATTATTATTGTTATGGATTTATTATTATAGGTGTGAAACGATGGAATTGTTATTATTATAGTTATCAGTTTGTTTATCATTGTCATTATTACAATGGATTTTTTTTTTTTATTATTATTATGTCTTTTTTTTGGTGGATGAATTCTTTACTGTTTGATGTTCTTCTGTTTGTGGAGAAGTTTATGAGAGTTTTTTGTTTGATGTTAAGGTTAAGGTTGGAAAATATTATGAAGGTAATGGTAACTGACTTTATTTTTTGTCTATCCATTATCTTTATTGTTCTTTTTAAGATTGGATTTACATTATTTCCATTATTACTGTTACTATCACAGCTGTAATTGTTATAATTGATAATTTTATTGTGTTCTTATTGACATGATATTTAACATTATAACTATTATTACCATTATCTCTAGTTTGTGTCTAGTTAGTAGTAGTAGTGTAATGTATTTTTTAGGATGATGATAGTGATTGATGATGATTACGATGATCATCATCATAATACCAATAACGATATAGATAGATAGATAGATAGATAGATAGATAGATAGATAGATAGATAGATAGATAGATAGATAGATAGATAGATAGTTAGGTAGGTAGATAGATATAGCCCAAAACAAGTATACCCAAACTCAAAAGTAAAACAAAACATGATAATAAATATATAAATAAATAATGATAAAAATTAAATATATAAAAGTAAATCCTCTGGCACTAACTCCCAAGCCTCCTCCCTCCTCCAGTCGTGGACCACAACCGCCAGATCCGACCGCCGTGTCCCAAATTCTGCACCCGAATCTACGAGCCCGTGTGTGGGAGCGACGGAAGGACTTACGCCAACGCCTGTCGTCTGGAGTCCGTGACCTGTCGTGACCCGTTCATTGTGAAGGAGAAAGATGGCGTGTGTGGTATGTTGAAGGGTATATGGGTATTTGTAATAGAGCTTGTGCTGTGCAGTGGTGCAGTGGTAGCATTCTCTTTTTGAGATTATGTCTTGTTGCTGGTTATTCCACTATACAACGGTATCATTGCTAGTCAGTGCTAGAATTGTATCTCTTTATCTGTTTATCTCTGTCTCTGCCTCTCTCTCTCTCTCTCTCTCTCTCTCTCTCTCTCTCTCTCTCTCTCTCTCTCTCTCTCTCTCTCTCTCTCTCTCTCTCTCTCTCTCTCTCTCTCTCTCTGCGCGCAAACAAACATAAACGCACATATATATACGTGTATACATATTATCTACCCTCTCCCACAGAAAACAAATAAACAAACAAGATCAAAATTATACTCACATTTCTCTTCCTTTCTTTCAGACCAGGAAGTCCCCCCTCCCCCCACACCCCCACGATGCCCCGTCGGTTGCACCCGCGAGTACCTTCCTGTGTGTGCGAGCGACGGCAGGACATACAATAACATGTGTCTCCTTAATATGACAGCGTGTAGGGACCCGAACGTGTTTGTTGTCTCAGCAGGACCTTGTGGTAAGTCAGGAGTGATGGAGAGTTTAGCAAGTAGGTATGTAAAAAAGTAAGTGAGTATGTATGTAAGTCCACATAACATGACGGTTTGTAGGTATCCAACCTTAAATCGATAAAAAAGTAAATGGAAATGTATTAATCAATATATATAGGCAGTAAATATATAAGAATAAATATTAAGTAATCAGTATATGTAGGCAGTAAATGTAAGTAAATGGACAAAATTAGTAAATAGATTAATAAAAATAGTAAATAAAAAGATGTAAAAAGTATATGAATAATACACAAGTAAATAAAAGGCAAATAGATAGAAAGTAAATAGATAAAGTAGAAAAATGTTTTTTGTTTGTGTATGCTTGCCTGTTTATGTGTGGGTGTTATGTTTTTCTTGTATATTACTATCGAGACGATGTGAATATATGCAACTGGATAAAGATATTTTGTCCAACAAAAATTGGGTTCCATTAAACAGAACCTCGATTTTTGTATTCCATACCAAAATAGACAGCTCCATAACCAGCTACCTTCAATACAAAATTACGATAATCTAAAAAACAAAATACTCCCGTTTTATCAACAACCAGTCATGAAAGTACGCAATTTCTCATCATAAAGTCATCATTACCTGCTTGTCATTTCCGCAAGAATTAATTTCAGAATTTAAATAAAAAGGATTTTTCCCACTACTTTAGATATGGACCATGAATCATGTCTAATTAATTCCATGATTCTATAGTGATATGACATAGTTCCGTCGACATTTAGCTCGTTTTATCATCGTTAGTGATTAAAGCCATTTTTTTTCTTCTTTTTTGTGTTAGATCAATATTGTTGAATTCTGAGGTGAATTTATGGTCCTTATAGTTTTAAGTGGTAGCCACTATAGAGTTCCACAAAAAAAGGGTGTAAGTATGATATGAAATAGATATAGTGTATATATACATATATACATATATAAATGTGTGTATTATATATCTAGAAAAATATTGTGTGTGTATATATATATATATATATATATATATATATATATATATATATATATATAAATTGTGTGTACTATATATAAATCTATAAAAAAAATCACTAGACAGTAAAATATGTCAGTGTATTTCTGATATAATATCAAGTTATTAAACCGGTTTTTATTTATATAATTATTCTATAATTGCTTGATATCACACGTGACTAACAGCGAAGGGAATACCAGGGAACCACAGGCCAAAGATCCCATTTTCTTTAGATGCTTCTTCGGAAATTCAATAAAGAAAACGGATTTTTTCCGGCATAACTTGTGTATTTCATTATTCGTCCCCTCTTTGTCCCTTTGTTTATTACATTTTCACCATCAATCCTTCATCGTAGGACGCTCAACCCGGTTTATATAAATCCCTTCTTTGCTGAAATTAATCTTCCCTGCCACCAGAAAATTCTGAAGAAGGCCAGACCGTCCCCAGATCTCCCCAGTGTCCTCAAGGATGCACTCGCGAGTACCTCCCTGTCTGCGCGAGTGACGGCAGGACGTACAATAACATGTGTCTCTTCGATATGGCTGCCTGCAAAGACCCGTCGTTGAAGGTCGTATTCGAGGGACGCTGTGGTGGGTATTCCAGTTATTTCATTCGAATATTTGTTAGAATCTGGTTAGTTTTTAGCTGCCTGTTGTTGGGGAAAAATGTATTTACGTATTACCACCGAGATGTGCATTTCAGGTCAAATTTGTTTTGATAGATATGATTTTGTTTTCTTTTGCCAGAAAGGGGGATTTAAGATGATCTTAATGCAGTTAATAGCATTATGGTTACCCGATATTGTTAATCGATAATGATTTTAGAGTATCATACTGCATTGCTCTCAATTTTTTATGTGTATATATATATTTTATCATTTTTGTTTGTGATTCCCTTTCCGCTTCCTTCAACGCCACAAATCGTTCTTCACATGCACAACATCCATAAACCCCAGTACGTTAAAACTGAACCACTAAAATCATTAAAGCAATCTGAATATAAATAGACAGAATAAATATAATGCATAGAAAAGCAATTAGAAACTATATAAATAACTAAACAATAAAAGAAAAACATGATTCGAAGCCCTTTAAAAGTTACGGGGAGAGTAAAGCCTACCCTCAACCACCCCACATCTCACTTCCCTCTTCCCACTCGATTCTCCCCTCCCCCTTTCCCCTCTCCCTACCTCCCCAGTGTGGAGGAAGGGAGTCCCCACCTCCCCTTTCGTTAGTAGTCTCCTATTACAGACGGAGGGGCATTGTTTGACCTCTTTCCCCTGACGAGAGTAAGAAAACATAGTCGCTTGCCTCAAAAATCCGGGACAAAGGAGCTATGGTGGTTTCAGGAGATTTTGTCCTTGAGAAATGTAAACAGCAGCACGCATTCCCCCGCTGGTATTTACTACCGCAGATTATCATAATAAAGAGTCGAGATTTGAGTGTTTAATGGTAGAAAATGGATGTGAAATATATATACTGGGCTATATCAATGGCATTACGGATTTACATTTAAGAATACTTATAACCTCGTAGGCTTTATAACACTAACTGGCATATGTCTTCCGTGTTATTTGCAGATGAAGAGTCGGACTCATGCAACGAAATCTGCCCCTTTGACTTCTCCCCCGTGTGTGGAAATGACGGAATCACGTACACTAACGAGTGCACGCTCCAGTTAGCGATATGTAGGGACCCTTCTATCAAACCTGCCTTCCTCGGACCGTGCTGTGAGTTAAAGCAGGAAGGAGTGAGAGAGGGAGAGAGCAGACAGTCAGAGAGAGAGAGAGAGAGAGAGAGAGAGAGAGAGAGAGAGAGAGAGAGAGAGAGAGAGAGAGAGAGAGAGAGAGAGAGAGAGAGAGAGAGAGAGAGAGAGAGAGAGAAGGATAAGTCCGATATGCGAAGCTGAGCCTCGCCCGGGCTATGGGGGGAGCCCGGCCTGTGACGACTAATGTCGACTCGCTAACAGTGTGTCAGCAGGTGCTGACTCGGATGAGCTTAGTCCTTACCCACCGTGGTGTCCAGCCACAGCAGTAACCTGCAGGCGACAATTGCAACTTCTCGCGCCTGGGTGGGGCGCGAACCGCCGACCCCTCGGATGAGAGGCCGACACGTTACCACTGTACTAGCCCGGAGGCTAGAGAGAGAGAGAGAGAGAGAGAGAGAGAGAGAGAGAGAGAGAGAGAGAGAGAGAGAGAGAGAGAGAGAGAGAGAGAGAGAGAGAGAGAGAGAGAGAGAGAGAGAGAGAGAGAGAGAGAGAGAGAGAGAGAGAGAGAGAGAGAGAGAGAGAGAGAGAGAGAGAGAGAGAGAGAGAGAGAGAGAGAGAGAGAGAGAGAGAGAGAGAAGAGAGCAGACAGAGAGAGAGAGAGAGAGAGAGAGAGAGAGAGAGAGAGAGAGAGAGAGAGAGAGAATTATCAAAAGAATATACTCCATTCAAATGTTAAATTACAATAAAATGCAACAATACATTAAACTGCTCTCACACACACGCAATCTAACTCTACTAATCCACCTTTCTATAATTTTCAGCCAACTGAACTACGTATAGAATATCCAAGGCTGTTATTACTGCGCAGTCGTCGCCACGAACTGGTTTTACACTACAGGAAAACAATTTGAACCAAATGATAAAGTGAAGATAAAGGTATATTGATATATTCGTAGGTCACAGCTGGTGAAAATCGTATCCAATTATTGGTTAGAATCTGTTCTGCTTCGTTGTATTTTCTGTTTCTTCTTATATCTTTGTAAAGAAAAAACATGTAAGTTGAAATTCATGAGTAAATATTGTTTAAAGTTTAATCTCAAATATTTATAAATATGAGAAAATATCTGTTATATCCCACACTCAAAAACTATTTATATCACATAATCTTAATGATCTAATTAATGATATCATCAGTATTTTCTGTTTTAAGTACAGACAAATGTAACCAATTAGGTCTTTCATAATAACATTTTCAATAAATGCCATGTCATTTCTAAAGACTGAATTACATTTACCGATTAACAGCATACCAAAAGATAACGAAAACATATGTAAACGTAGGTGTCTATATCATTCATAATGTTGATAATAGAATAGGACAAAGTTATTGTTTGTGCATGAAACATTCTAAAATCTGATCGAAATATAACGAAATGAGTAAAGTTAACAATGACTTTTTGAAAATTATGGGTAAATTTGGAAATGACTCCTAACACCGAATTCCATGTGAAAACGAATATTTTTTTCTGAAAGCTCCGGTCGTGTCGAGTGAATCTAGCTCTCATATATTTCGCAAATGAAGCATAGCAGCGATATCTGGCGAGGGCATGATAAGTACCAGGAAAATTGTGGGGGTAAAATAGTCAAACTTTCAAGAATTTATTTACCGTGAAACAGATTCGTAATAAATAGTGGGACAACAAAATCTTCACTTCGTATGTTCAGGCAGGACAGAGCTCGGGTAAATAGCTGGATCTCGCATCGATAATTTCTTACCTCGACCAAAAAATCCGCAATAGCCAGCCTGCGAGTCGTCAAAATTGCAGGACTTTTTCGTTACTGCCATAATATTTTGCATATTAATGACGAAGCAGCCTAGCCAGGACGAAACTGATTTGAATTTCAATTGACCTGTCTTATGGTCCAGCTTCTATCAACACGTGATTATCTATTCCGAATCTTATTGACTCTAATAGACTGGTCGCTAGTATCTATCGTCAGGGCCGTCGGGAAGGCAGCATTGCAGGGGGAATGTAATGTTTCA